TCTGTATTATAAATAATCCAAGCCACGAGAGCAGAATGAAGAATGGAACATTACATTTGCACAGCAGTGTAAGTGCGATGACCAACTCAAGCTTAAATATTTTTTTTAAATTTAAGCTTTTTACAACAAAATATTTCCTCAACAACATACTCCTTTCGACAACACAAAAAAACAACACATTGCTCCGACAACAACACAACAGCACACTCCTTCCAAACAACAGCGTAACAAACAACATCGCAAACAGCACACTCATTCCAACAACAACACCACAAACAGCACACTCATTCCAACAAAAACAACGCAAATATCACACTCATTCCAAGAACAACACATTAAACAACACACTCATTCCAACAACAACACATTAAACAGCACACTCATTCCAACAACAATACATTAAACAACACACTCATTCCGACAACATCACAACAGCACACTTCTTCTAATAACAACACCACAACAAACACAAACCAATGATACCTGAGAAAACTCGCATCACAGCTTTATACCACACAGTCCATCAACAAACACACTCATACACACACAAAGTCGTGTCGACACACACGTTACGTCAACACATACATCCATCTAGTTAAATAAACTAGCCAACATAGACACTTGATCACATAGACAAGTTCCATTTTCAAATCTTACGGTCCATGGGGCAAGTGAAGTAGAGTTACCCTGTTTCTGTGACCTCAGCATATGAAGGGATAGTGAGGTCAGCACAATGGCCAGCCGCCTTTCCTAAAATATTAACTTTCATTTTATTTAATTTTTTAAACTTCAATGCAAATGTTGGAACTACTCATCCGTGACTGAAGTTTTTCCCATGTAAATAAAGACGTCGGCCCTGATACTAAAATAATCTAGTGCCTTATCACTGCTGTTGGTGGAACCTACAGTCAAGGTTTATATTGTCTAACTTAAGAAAGTTAATTCGTAAAAGCATACTTAAGAAAGTTAGATCAGAAAAGCATACTTAAGAAAGTTAGTTCGTAAAAGCATACTTAAGAAAGTTAGATCAGAAAAGCATACTTAAGAAAGTTAGTTCGTAAAAGCATACTTAAGAAAGTTAGATCAGAAAAGCATACTTAAGAAAGTTAGATCAAAAAAGCATACTTAAGAAAGTTAGTTCAGAAAAGCGTACTTAAGAAAGTTAGTTCGCAAAAGCATACTTAAGAAAGTTAGTTCGTAAAAGCATACTTAAGAAAGTTAGTTCGTAAAAAGTGTGTTATGTGTTTACTGAGATATTTTAAAGTTCGCTGCTTTGACTTCGCTCAAAGTAATTTCGTGAAGGATTAAGGCAAGTAATGATCTTGGGCTTATTTGAATCGGTCAAAGAAAGTTGAGGTTAAATATCTTGTTTTGTTACTGAGAGAAATTTCACCTTTGATTTATTTTTTTAAAATATAGCCCTAACTTTTTTATAATTTGAATTCTAAAATAGTAGGCTATTAATATTCTCATTCAAATTAAGTGGTTTTTTTTCTGTTGGATTTTTAAAATCTCAGTGTTATTTAGCTTACTTCAAAACTTTGAGCTTTAGATTAAAATTTAGAAATTAATTTCTATAATTGATATTAAATTTGACGTGCGCGAATTGCTATTGTTTTAAAATATAAAATATATAGATCTACGTACGTGTTAGTGATTTTAGTTTTGCAAACAGGACAAGGGAATTAATTTTCTTCGGCCAGCTCGTGTGTTAGTTATGTTTAGCCAACATTGTATGAGTAGATTTCACATCAACAATGCCGTGTGCTGACTGTACCTAGTATAGTATGTGTAGATTTTATTTAAATTGTATATAAATATTTCAGAATGGATTATAAAAATTCATTATCAGACATTTGGGATCAATGAGCGGGGGATTATCAAATCCAGTTAATTCTTTTTTCTAGACACTGTCATTGCTGCCACAAACTGAGCAGAAATAAATTGGTAGACCTGGTGCCTCCCCTTATGCCCAGCTAGGGCATCTAACACCCTTGTCCCTGGTTTGTTTATAATAAATTCCTTGTAGCTAACTAGGCAGGGGCATTGTCTCTTGACTTGTTTCTTAAAATTACTTCTCGCTATGGGAAAACTGTCGGTTCGACTCAAACCCTCGTCGAGAGCTAAAAAATTGACCGCGAGTGAAATTCTCATTTCGTGCAGACATGTTTTGTATATTTTCCCTTCCCCTGGCACTCCGGTTGTATTGGCACCTTATTTCTATAGAATTTTCTATCCAGCAAAACTTTCTTTAAAGAAGAGTCAGTGACTATTTCGGTTGTTGAGCTTTCTGTCACGTGATTTCCCCAATGTCTTGTCAGCCTTTAACCCAATCAACTGCATTTTGTGAGCGTTTAACCCAGTCAAGTACATTTTGTGAGCGTTTAACCCACGGGTTCCCAATCTGGGGTCGCCAACTGGTATACTAAACCTTAGCAATGAGAAACAAAACATAAATAGTTTGAAGAATATCTGAAATTCGGCTTTAGTAACATCACTGGAAATGGAATAGAGAAGAAGCCATGCGTACTGTACAAAGTTATTCTCAGTCAAGAATTTACGAAATCTTCAAAACTGAAACGTCATTTGAGACGAGTCATTCGGAACACACCAAAAAAAGATATGGAGTTCTTTCGTCGGCATGAAGCTAGTTGCCAACGTCAGAGACTTGATCGAACAGGAAGTTTTCACCAAGGAAACGCAGCATTAGTGCAAGCATTAAATGTAGTCGCGATAGAAAATGCCAAGCAAAACAACACAACAATAGAAGAAAATCTCATCAAACGCTGCATGTTGAAGATGGTGAAATTAATTCTTGGAGATTCCAGGGCAGTAAAGATGCAACAAATATCTCTGTCCAATAATACTATTCAGCGGCTTATAGCAGACATGTCCGTAGATTTTAAATAACAAATTTTTAATGTTTTTTTTTTAAAGTTTTTTTTTTAAGTTGATAAATAAACAGACGTGAGTTAATGTTTGCAGTTGCTTGTCTTTTTCTATAATCATTCAGATAATAGCAAAGAAGAGTTGCTGTTTTGTGAAGATAGCATGGGGAAAATAAATACGTTTTTTAAAACTGGATAATTAGAATGGGTTAAAACGGCTATGGGGGTTTGTACGGATGGTGCGCCATCTATGTTTAGGTCAAAATCGTGCTTTCAGAAAACATAAAAGATTTAGCTCCCTAAACACTGCATGATTCACCAGTATGCCCTCGCCATCAAGACGCTAGCTAGTAAAAGTCGTAAATTATGTTAAATCTGGAGCCTTCAATAAACTGAGCAACGACATTAATATAGATCACGAGGTTCTGCTTTTCTACATTACAGTACGCTGGCTGTCAAACGAAATGTTGTGAATCGTGTTTTTGGATTGAAATCTGAAATCAAATTGTTCTTGGAAGTCCAAAGGAAACAAGACCTTTTGGTATACTTAAAAAGACATAGAGTGATTGGAAAATCATACCTAGCAGATATATTCGAACATCAACATCGGCTTAACCTGAAGCTTCACGGAAAATGAATGAATATTATCGCTTTCAATGATAATCTCGTGGCATTTTTATCCAAGCTGCAAAATTGGCGAAGAAAATAAATCTTGGAAATATTGAAAATTTGAAAAACTCTGCAATGTGGTAGATGAATCTGATTGTGAGAAAGAAGCGATTTCTGGGCATCTTGAATCTCTTGAAAACAAACTGAGGCGCTATTTCTCTGAGCTGAAAGAAGAAGAATCTGCATTGACGCATTACCCATTCTCTTCTTCCCTTGAAGTTGCCAGCATTCCCGATGAATTACAAGATGAATTCTTTGATTTGCAGAATGATTCCGCGTAAGATGAAAAACTGCAGACACAATTTTGGTGTAGCATTCACCATTCATACCCAAACGTAAAATTGATTGACTTATCTAAAATAGATTGTCAACACTATTCTCCGATTAAAAACAAAACTAAACAATAAATTGAATGTTGATAATGACATAGGTTGGCGTTTACAAAAACTTAACCGCGAATGTTTAGTAAATAGCATTAAATTTTACTCATCGTATTAAAGCAGTTATCAAGAGTAGTTCATATTGAAAGTCTAGAAAATCTTATTTTAGTGCTTATTAATTTCCATACTAATATCGGCTTTTTAATTCTATGGGGGTCGCGGGTCACTTACTTTTTGTAAAAGGGGGTCGCCACTCGAAAAAGTTTGGGAACCACTGGTTTAACCCAATCAGGTACATTTTGTGAAAATTTAACCCAATCAAGTACATTTTGTGAGCGTTTAACCAAATCAAGTACATTTTCGGAAACAAATAATATTCCTACACCTTTTTCTTTGTAGTAATGTTTAGAGAACGTAAAAAACAAGTATCAAGATTAATTTAAATAAGTTAGGTCATTGGGTTGTGAAAACAAACGTTGACTAAACCTAAAATTTAGAATTATGTATTGGCAAGAAAGGCTAGTTCAGAAAACAAAATGTTACAACATGTTTTTACAATAGATTAACGATATCCCTGAAAAAAAATTATTATTTTCGTAAAAGAATAGGCCCACATAATTTCTGAGCATTGTTTAACAGTGCCCTTAGAACCAGACCAGTCAGTCAACATTTGCAGAAAGACGTCGCTTAGTTCGGAACATCCAAATCTGGTCTAGAGGTGCTATTATATTCGCTGGTTTATCCGTGCCGCATTTTCTCTGGTCTATATATAAAATATAGAGGTAATTCTGGATCATATTGCTTAGTCAAAAATTCGTTGTTAGTTTAACACCCTCGCTCAACAGTCCACCCCAACTCTCTCCCACCCCTTGCCCCCTCCTACCCACACACACCCTCCATCCACCCCCACTCACACCGAAATATGGTGGTTAGCAAGGTTAAAAGTAAAACTTGTACACTACAACAAATCTGATGCCTGTATGTTATGTTTGACAACACCTTATCTACTAACAGTATGTCAACCTTTATTATACGATGTTGTTTTCTCTGTTCTAGTATAGACATGGTGACGTCACGACCCCTGTGGCCGGATGTGTTCGTGTGTCCGTGGACGGGGATGCAGAGAGACCGGTTTGGAGGTTTGTGAGATCACTTCTGGGTTAGGGGCTTGGCAGAGGCATAGCGACGGGGGTGGGGGGGTGGGGGTACATTTGTCCCCGGGCGCCGACCCTAGGGGCGCCAAAATAAGCTCATTTTAGCTGCTATTTTGAATTATAAATATAAAAAATATATATGAGGGGGGGGGGGGGCGCCTAATTGAAAGTTTATCCCCGGGAGGGGTCGCTACGCCTATGGGGCTTGGTGTTGGGAGTTTGTTGGTGTTAGGGGTGGGTTAGTGTTAGGGTGGGTTAGTGTTAGGGTGTTGGGTTAGTGTTATGGGTCGGTTAGTGTTATGGGTCGGTTAGTGTGGATGGGTTAGTGTTAGAGGTGTGTGAGTGTTATTGTAAGTTCATTTTTAAGGGTGGCGTTAGTTATTGCGTGCGTTAGTATCAGGAGTGTAATACGGTTTTTGTACGGTTCATGAACAAACATAAAGTGTGGGTTAGGTTTGTGTACTGAATTTAGTTTTTTTTTACTGTTAAGTTGAGGTTAAGGTTAGCGGACAGTTTTTATTTTATCTTAAAGTGGATGTTACAGATTGGTTTTAAGTTAAATCTGTATGCTAACCTAATCTGTGTGTGTTAATCTAACAGTGTAACTAAACCTCATGTTGTATGACTGATGTGTAGAACATGTTTAGGTGGCTTTAAGATGACAATTAGTTTAGTTGTAATTAAATTATTTTATCTGTAGTCTAGTTTCAATTAAATTATTAGATCTGTAGCTTAGTGTTAACATAAGCGTCATTGTTAGAGAGGTCAGTTTTTTAAGTCTCCACACACTGTACTATACTGATTGGGATTAGCCTATGATTCGTACGCATCTGTGAATATCTCTGTCTGGTTAAGCTAGTTGAGAAGTTTAAAAAAGAGACCATTAGTTTAGCGCTCAAATTGGTTTTGATTCAAAAGTAAAGTTTATATCCGTGTCGTCTTCGCCATAATTTCTTTTCTTGAATCCCCTTTTCCGTGGTTGCTCCTTAGGGGTAAAAGATGTGCCCGGTCACATCGCTCTGACTATCAGATAACAATAGTGTTTTATACATCGTACTTCTTTCAATAAAATTGTAAATAATTAGGAGTTTGTTACTATAAAAATAAAAAATAAAAACTATGCTATTTAATAATTAATGTTATAAAAATTACATAATATTTGATACAATAATCTTTATAACATAGTAAATATAATAGTTTGTTTTTTTGTAAAAAAAAAAAAATATTTTTTTAAATTATTTTTTTTTACATTTAATTTAAACCATTTATGATAATTTTTAAAAAATATTTTCATTTACTTTATTTTATGTATCCCAGTGGTACGAAGGGTCGGTCACCCATACCAGAACCGAACTCCGCCCAAACGGAAGAAGCCAAGAACGGCATTCACACGTCAGCAAGTTCTGGAGCTGGAGAAAAGATTCACCAGACAGAAGTATCTGGCGTCTGCTGAACGTTCGGCGCTGGCCAAAACTTTGAGCATGACGGACGCTCAGGTGAAAACATGGTTCCAGAATCGTCGCACTAAGTGGAGGTAGGACGTTAAGTAGGTCGTGTGGTCAGTGGTAAATGTATGGGGTGGTCAGTGGTAAATCTATGGGGTGGTTGGTGGAGGTAGGACGTTAAGTAGGTCGTGTGGTCAGTGGTAAATGTATGGGGTGGTCAGTGGTAAATGGATGGGGTGGTCAGTGGTAAATGTATGGGGTGGTCAGTGGTAAATGTATGGGGTGGTCAGTGGTAAATATATGGGGTTGTTGATGGAGGTAGGACGTTAAGTAGGTCGTGTGGTCAGTGGTAAATGTATGGGGTGGTTGGTGGAGGTAGGACGTTAAGTAGGTCGTGTGGTCAGTGGTAAATGTATGGGGTGGTCAGTGGTAAATGTATGGGGTGGTCAGTGGTAAATGTATGGGGTGGTCAGTGGTAAATATATGGGGTTGTTGATGGAGGTAGGACGTTAAGTAGGTCGTGTGGTCAGTGGTAAATGTATGGGGTGGTTGGTGGAGGTAGGACGTTAAGTAGGTCGTGTGGTCAGTGGTAAATGTATGGGGTGGTTGGTGGAGGTAGGACGTTAAGTAGGTCGTGTGGTCAGTGGTAAATGTATGGGGTGGTCAGTGGTAAATGTATGGGGTGGTCAGTGGTAAATGTATGGGGTGGTCAGTGGTAAATATATGGGGTTGTTGATGGAGGTAGGAAGTTAAGTAGGTCGTGTGGTCAGTGGTAAATGTATGGGGTGGTTGGTGGAGGTAGGACGTTATGTAGGTTGTGTGGTTGGTGGTAGATGTATGGTGTGGTTGGTGGAGGTAGGACGTTAAGTAGGTCGTGTGGTCAGAGGTAAATGTATGGGGCGGTTGGTGGTAAATGTATGGGGCGGTTGGTGGTAAATGTAGGGGTGGTTGGTGGTAAATGTATGGGGTGTTCAGTGGTAAAATATATGGGGTGGTTGGTGGTAAATGTATGGGGTGTTCAGTGGTAAAATATATGGGGTGATTGATGGAGGTAGGACGTTAAGTAGGTCGTGTGGTCAGTGGTAAATGTATGGGGTGGTTGGTGGAGGTAGGACGTTAAGTAGGTCGTGTGGTCAGTGGTAAATGTATGGGGTGGTCAGTGGTAAATGTATGGGGTGGTCAGTGGTAAATGTATGGGGTGGTCAGTGGTAAATATATGGGGTTGTTGATGGAGGTAGGACGTTAAGTAGGTCGTGTGGTCAGTGGTAAATGTATGGGGTGGTTGGTGGAGGTAGGACGTTAAGTAGGTCGTGTGGTCAGTGGTAAATGTATGGGGTGGTTGGTGGAGGTAGGACGTTAAGTAGGTCGTGTGGTCAGTGGTAAATGTATGGGGTGGTCAGTGGTAAATGTATGGGGTGGTCAGTGGTAAATGTATGGGTGGTCAGTGGTAAATATATGGGGTTGTTGATGGAGGTAGGAAGTTAAGTAGGTCGTGTGGTCAGTGGTAAATGTATGGGGTGGTTGGTGGAGGTAGGACGTTATGTAGGTTGTGTGGTTGGTGGTAGATGTATGGTGTGGTTGGTGGAGGTAGGACGTTAAGTAGGTCGTGTGGTCAGAGGTAAATGTATGGGGCGGTTGGTGGTAAATGTATGGGGCGGTTGGTGGTAAATGTAGGGGTGGTTGGTGGTAAATGTATGGGGTGTTCAGTGGTAAAATATATGGGGTGGTTGGTGGTAAATGTATGGGGTGTTCAGTGGTAAAATATATGGGGTGGTTGGTGGTAAATGTATGGGGTGTTCAGTGGTAAATGCATGGGGTGGAAAGTGGTAAATGTATGGGGTGGTTGGTGGTAAAAATGTATGGGGTGGTCAGTGGTAAATGCATGGGGTGGAAAGTGGTAAATGTATGGGGTGGTCAGTTTTTATCAGCGTTTAAATATTTACATTAGATTTAAGCTTTTTATTGGCCAAGTGTTAGCATTAATTTAACGAATGCATGCAGTTTTACGCTTTAGAATAGCATTTTAGTTAAGGTAATGTTATGTAAAAGATAATGGTATGTAAAGGTTATATTATGTAAAGCACAATGTCTGATGACCTTCACCTTTTGTTTACCAGACGACAGACTGCAGAAGAACGAGAAATTGAGAGACAAGCCGCCCACAAGTTTCTGCTCAGCCTCCGTCCAGAAGATTCCAGCCGGCCGGTCTGCTGCGGCACCGAACCTGCGACACACTGACCTGACACGTGACACGCCAGGTCAAAGGTCAGACGAAGGTCAGAAATCATGGATTCGTTGGCACAAGTCAGTCAGCAAGAAGATATAAAGCAAAGCTCGAGGGAAGACGTCATAGGGATCAAACACAAACTTCACGTAGACAAACAGCACAATTTTCATACATATTACCATATATAGACATCGGAGAAATATAATTTCCACAATGACCACATATACACATAAGAATAATGAAATATAATTTCCACAATGACCAAATATACACATGAGAATAATGAAATATAATTTCCACAATGACCAAATATACACATCAGAATAATTAAATATAATTTCTACAATATCCAAATAAAGCTATCGGAATAACGAAATATAATTTCCACAATATTCAAATATCACGACAAACATAGTCGGATTGAACGAACATAGACACCACAATATTCAAATATCACGACAAACATAGTTTGGCTGAACGAACATAGACACAAAAACGACTAACGAGGACACCTCCCCAAACATATCAAACAACAAACATACAAACATACAAACAAACATGAAGTGAAGCTGGTTTATCGTCCACGTTTCAGCTCCCGTGTGTTGATAAGGCTACACTATGCTTCAACAGTTAACTTTGTCTATTTGTACGCATTACGTACCCAGACATTTTACATCTTCTATTTGTACGTATTGCGTACCCAGACATTCAGTACCTTCTATTTGTACCTATAGCGTACTCATACACGTGCGTCATTTCTGCAAGGCAACTGTACTCACGTGAGTGACGCCAGTCCAGTGCATCAACTTAGAATCTGCAGAATCGTTTCTAAAACAATTGTACACAGACTACCAGAGAAACCACGCACATTGCTGGCAGTGTTTTAAGGGTTCCTGAAGAGTCTCCTGCAGTTAGGGATCCTATAAAGTCCCTAAAGCAATTAGGGATCCTAAACAAGAACCTAAAACAGTTAGGGATCCTTAAAGGTTCCTACGATTGGGATTCGCGAAAGGATCTATTTCTCCCTGATGTATTGTGTGGGCAACTGGTAATCTTGTATCTGGCTGTAGACCAGTGGTCAAACGGTCAGTCTACTTCATCGATAAACATTTGCCAGATATATTATGCTCTTATTAGACGATATGCTACAATGTTTGTGAGACTATTATTTAAAAAACCATTCTATTTCAAGACTCTTGTGAGCCGGAACTATTGGTTGAACAAGTCATGTGACGTCAACACGTCACGGCTCCCATTGTTAGCTATCATGTGTATTTCCGGAGCAAATGTTTATGTTAAGAGAATACTAGAGGAATAAACGTGCAATTCTTTTTTTTTTTCATTCTTGTTTTGATTACTGTTTGTAATACATGTATAAGTTTGTGTACTTTAGGTAGCTTGTATACATTTTTTAATGTTCAAAAACAACATACGGCACCCAGATTTGTTATCTGTATGCTACTTATAGATACGTGATACACTAAAAATGTTAAATGTATATTACATATAGGTACGTCGTACAGTTATAAGTTTATAAGTATGATACATATAAATATGTGGCACACTAATAATGTTATATGTATGCTACATATAGATACATGGTACACTAATAATGTTATCTGTATGCTACATATAGATACGTGATAAACTAATAATGTTATCTGTATGTTACATATGTGACTCACTTATAATGTTAGTACAATATCTAACCTAGATCTAACCACATAATAGCTCTAGGCTACATACAATTATATACGGCCCACTTGTAGGCTATAAATAGATCTACGGCTCACGAATATTGTCAGTTGTACATCTGAAATGACGCATCAAAATTAAGATATGCAAGTAATTCTACTTTATTTTAATCTTTTAAAATTTTTACATTTTATAACATCAAGCGTTTAAATAGTTAACTCCGTAAAGCAGAGGTGGTTTTTTTTTGGGTGAGGGGGGTTATTGAATTATTGTTGAATTACTGAATCAATCAGTTAAGTATCAAGATTACATGTTGTCTCTAATTACAAATGTCTCTATTACAAATGATTCAGCCAAGTGTCCCTACAGGTAGGAATAAAGTGGTTATTGGGAATCTTGTCTTAGACTGAGGTTAAGATCAGGTTATGATTAAGAATGGCCAAACAAAGTAGATAATGGAGGATTAGTTTTGATGTGCCGAGTTTCGCGAACAAATACTAATTTCGAATACACAATATATAAAGATTAAAAGATCCCTTTCCAAACCTGACGGTCCATGATGCACGTGAAGTAGAGCTCACCTGTTTGTGTGACCTCGGCATATGAAGGGACAGTGTGGTCAGCACTATGCCCAACTGCCTTTTCTTTCCCTAACCTAACTTATCCATTTTACTTTCAATGAATTGTCCACGCTCTGGACGTCCTTTTGAGATGGTAACATCCCACATCAGCTGAGTACACAGATCACATGTGCGACTGTAGTTTAGACTGTTTGACAAAACTCCTGGTGTAGGCAAAGTTTCTTTTTGGCTTCGTTTTGGGAAGGCACTTACTCCCTCTTCCAGCACGTCCGACCTCCCCCCCCCCCCCCCCACCTTTCCTTGAAGAAATTGAGAAAAAAAAAGTATAGAGAAAATATACTTTAACCAGTTTCTGTGGCCGGCACCCACCCACCCACATCCCTAAATTTAAGTGCCCCACCTGATCGTTTCATGTAACTCCCATCCCCCCTACCCCTCCCTCCTATTAAAAAGTCTGGATATTCTGGATAAGAAATGACTTTACTTAATTTTCAACAAAATCGTACTTCTCCCTGCAGTTCCATGTCATGAACCCTTAAACAGAAAATCTTTGAAAAGCCCAACTTTCTGTCTCGTTACGTTCTGCTTGTAAGATCAGAAACTGATTATTTCTCACTAAACACTACATGTCTGCGTACGTATATGGAGAGTCGAATGAAATAAAATGAAGGTTGTCGCGGACTAAAAGTAAAGAAGGGAAACGGTTTCAAAATACTTTAAACCAAGAAATTCTGAAACTACCCCACATCAACCAAAGGGCTTTAAAACCTGAAACTTAAAACTACTTTCAGAGTCAGCCACTATATTTATAAAACACCAAGCCGTTACACATGTATCAGTTTCTGAACAATAATGGTCCTTAAGGCCATTACAAAGTTGGCCATAACTCTGTAGGTTGCTAATGACTTAATGGCCAACTATTTCGTGGCCCTCTGCTTAGATGGGCCGCTAATCGGTGATGATTAATGACACGCAACACAGATACCTAAGTGGTCTGTCTTAAACTAGAGGGCTTAGAGTGAAGGATTTTATAGTCACAACTAATATGGTCCAATCTCAAAACATTGGAACTTACAGTGAAGGATTTTATAGTCACATTTAATATGGTCCAATCTCAAAACATTAGGACTTACAGTGAAGGATTTTATAGTCACATTTAATATGGTCCAAACTCAAAACTAGGGCTTACAATGAAAGACTTTTTAGTCACATTAAATATGGTGTATCTTAAAATTTGGGGCTTACGATGAAAGACTGTCACATTCAGAGTTTCTTCCCCCCCCCCCCCGAACGAAATGGTATTTATATAGAAAATATATAGTTTAAACAGTGTCCACCCCCCTTCCCCCCCCCCCCCCCCCCAAAATTTCAAGTGCCCTTCCGGAGAAAAATGTCTGGAAGAAACACTGGTCACATTTAATATGGTGTATCGTCCATTCTTAAAATTTAGGACTAAAAGACGATATAGTCCCATATACAATGTTGAATAAGGATCCTTGTAATGTGAACAACTCTGATTAACGCCGATTAAAAAGAGGAACTTAAAAAAAAGAGACAACAATAATAAAAGGTTCGTTGGTTTCACTGAGGTGTAGGTGGAGAGACTGGACTGTAGGTGGTAAAGCTCTTATGTCAGGCATAAGCCCAGCTAGGCAGCCATAGGTCCAGAAAGACAGCCATATGCCCAGCATACAGCCATATGTCGAGCAAGACGGCCATAGGCCCAGCAACCAAGCGAGGTTTATATATATATATATATATATATATATATATATATATATATATATATATATATATATATATTGTATATAACGCGCGCACACAGACGCACGCACGCAAGCACACTCACACACGTATACATACATACATACATACATACATACATACATACATACATACATACATGCATACCATAGATCTATATCATGTTTAAGTACGTTAACAGAAAAATAGCAGAATACATTTTTATTTTCCCAGAATACAAAAATAAGTTGAGGAGCATTGTATTATACAAGTAGTGTACCAGATACAAAGTATACCTCAATTATAGAAAATCGTGTGGCATGCCAGGAAATATAACCAAGTTCATGTTAAATGGGTAGTCGCCCCTGATGAAATGCAATGTAAAAGTTAAATCAAATATTTAACTTAACTGCATGAATCACATTTTAAACAAATGCCTAACAGCCCGTCTTTCTGCCATTTTAGTTAATTAAAAACTTGCCCAATTCCTATTATCGACTGCCCTTAAAACGATTATGAAGTCAACAACGCGTTGTGTTTGTTAGAGCCGGCACAATGCACGCGGTCATTAGTTCTCCGATCCCCTCCCCTCTCCAAGCGTCAAGTACCAGAAAACAGAATAGCCCCATTGGGATCCTAGCTTGTAAAATAATGATTTTATTTTTCGGTGACGCCATTTTGTTCTTTGCTGGATGCCCTTGCTAAGTGAATATGAAGATGGTTAGGATAAACATGAGCCGGTTTATAACCGGTCCCCTAAGGTTCGACCCCGGGGTCACCGGCTAGCAAGCGGAGAAAGGGAAATTTAATCGCTGTGCGCTGTTGTGTATCTTTGTTGATTCTCGGCAAGTGGACGTGACAGACCGGGAGTTAGCGAAGAACTGTTCGTCTTCTTTAAATAGGCTATGATTTTCATGGGAGCGAGACAAACAAAAGAGATTATCTATACTACACTAAGGGCTCTGGGTGGGGGTGGGGGTAGGGTGGGGGTTGGGGGTACTAGGGGTGTAGGGAAGATGTACGGGTATTTAATCGTAATTTACTGGTAGATTTGGTAGGGTTACTATAGGGCAGATGTAT